AGCTAAGGCTAGGTTTGAGCTCACACTCCTTCTGCCTCAGCCTCCCAAGTTCTGGGAATACAGGCATGCACCATCATTGAGCTTCGCATCAATATTTTTACATTGTGAGGGTTTCTCAGTGGATGTTTGGCCTTCGTAGGTTTTCATTAAATGAAGTATCTGTGAGACTCCCATCTTTGTACTGAGTCTGTTCTCCCTCTTCCCACTTCATCCACCCATGAATACTTAAATCTTGCTCATCTCTCAAAGTTCAGCTGAGGGTCTGCCCTCCGAGAGCCTTTCATGAGCAGCTTTCCGACAGCTTTCTCCTCTTCTCCACAGAGCTGGCTACATGCCTCCCTCTTTTCCTTCCTTTTCTGCTTTTTAATTTTCTTAAATGTGTTTTCAATTTAATTGCTACATGGTAATCATACATATTTATGAAACATTGTGATTATTAATGCATACATGGATCAGATCCATTAAGCATTTATCATTGCTTTGTGTTGGGAGCATTCAAAATGCTCTCTGCTAGCTATTTTTTTTAACATAACATTATTTCTTTTTTAAAAAAATATTTTACTTTTATGTGTGTGAGTGTATTGCCTGCATGTGTGTAAGTATACCCATGCAGAGCCCTTGGAGGCCAAAAGAGGCATTGGATCCCCTGGAACTGTAGTGGTTAGCTACATGTGGGTACTGGGGTTCAAACCAGGGTCCTCTGCAAGAGTAGCTAGTGTTCTTAACTGCTGAGCCCTGTTTTTGTCTTTTTGAGACAGGGTCTTCCTGTATCCCTAGCTGGCCTGGAACTCGCTATGAAGACCAGGCTGGCTTCCATCTCACAGAGTTCCTTCTGCCTCTGCCTCCTGAGTGCTGGGACTAAAGGGGCGCATACCCACACCTGCCTCTGCTAGCTATTTTGAAGAATGCAATTAGTTGTCAAGGTAGTTTGCCTAGTGTGAGGTAAAATAATAAAAGCCATTTGTCCAACTGTACCCTTGTAAATGCCTCTGTCCTCTGTCCACCGATCCCATGCCTTAGCTCAGAGTGCTTCCACTCTCTGCTTCTCTGTGAGCATCTGCTTAGTTTCCACACGTGAGTGAGGACATGTCCAACCTAGCTTCGAGTGCAGAGAGAGCTTGTCCCAAGGCATTAGACAGAGTGACACCTGACACCCTCCCCAGCCTCTGCATTTGTACACATCCTGAGCCAGGGATGTGGCTCAGCTGATAGAATGATTGTGTAGCATGCACAGAGCCCTGGGTTCAGTCCTGAGCAGCATGTAAACCAGGTGTGGAGTGCAGCACTATGGAGTTGGGGGTAGGAGGATCAGAAGTTCAGGATCATCCTCAGCTACATAATTTGAGGCCAGCCTGGGCCACATAATTACATAAAACCCTTTCTCAAAAAAAGAAAATAAAAAACAGTAGTAATTCTTTCATCTGTGTGTGGTATAGTATATTCTGATTTGTGGTCCTGGGAAGCAGCACATAGCTGTCTTTACATATGTATGCTTTAAGTTTTCTGGAGCAGAAGCATACCCTGACCTAGCAGCTTTCTTACTTGCCCTCACAGAGAGTAACATAGCTGCACATCCCATGGCTTGTTGCGCCACCTTCACTGGAGGCTCAGAAGTGAGTGTGGTGTGGAGATCTTTCAGATGTCCACCGTGTGCGGTGTGCTCCCCTTCAGTGCAGTGCTGCCATGTTTACCAACCTGCATTTTCTTTCTTGTCCAGGTGGCATTGCAGACAGCATAGCCAAGTGGATATTTAAACAGGACCTCAGCCCTGACCTGTTGAAACCAGCTAATAAACAAGATATAGAAAACCCAGATGAACCCGAAGAAGGTATTGCCAGAAGTTTCCTTGAGGTGTCAGAGGTGGCCAGAGACCTAGGTGCCATACCAGGTACACCACGTGATGAGAGTTATGAAACCAGGGTGGCATAGTGTGGCTATTTTAGGGAAAGAATAACATTGCCCTGTCTTCTGCCTTCCAGACTTGCTGTGTTTAGCCTATGAGCAGTTCCCTTGTAGCCTGGAGCTGGACGTGCTGCACGCACATTGCTGCTGGGAGTATGTTGTTCAGTGGAATAAAGATCCAGAGGTGAGAATCTCGTTGCCTCCTCCTCCTAATTGTTCTGCACTTCTCTTGTGCCCGAGTCAGGACCGTCCTGGAACTTAGAGTCAACATTAGATTCTTCCCCGCTTTCTGTGCCTGTACTAGTGACTGCCGGGTGCCTTTCATACATCTCCTTTTTTTCTTTTCATGGCATTACTGAGGACTGAACCTACAGCCTCATGGATGTTCAGCAAGCACTCTACCACTGAACTGTGTCTCCAGCCCTTTTTGAACTTCTTTGAAAGGGTTCAAACCTTGCCAAGTTGCCTATATTGTCCTTGAACTTGTGACCCTCCTGCCGTCGCCTCATGAGCATCTAGCAATGCAAGTGTTCACCACAGTGGCCGGCCTGTGTTCTTAAATGTCACTTTCCTGAACGTGTCTATAATTAATTTATTCAGATTTCAGAACTAATGTCCTCATTCTAGTTCTAACATTGTGTATTTCATCAACTAGGAAGATGTTGCCGTCCAAGTAGGGAGTGACTGCGACTGGTATTCTGGCTGTGGGGATTCCCCTGTCTTGACACCAATTTTTGGTTAAGGTTTAATTTCACAAAGACAAGTCTGTTATATAAATCACTTTGTTAGTATATTCCTTTAATATATAATATAATTACATATTAAAGAACTTTCTTGAGGGGGAAGGAAGGTTATCTAAGTACTGGTGTCAATTAGTTCATCTGTGAAATTCTTCACTAGAGTGCTGCGTGGTACAAAGACCTCAAAGAAAGAGTGTGGACTCACCAGAACTTTGAGGGAGGCCTAAGGGGAGGAATGGTGGCAGAGAGTGCCTGCCAGATGCTGTCCTTGTTTGTTTGGTTTTCCTTTAAATATTCATCTACTAACCCCATCATACCCTTTTCCCGGCTTCACCATTTCACATATACAGCTTTAACTTCAAACTGAATTACCTTTGGATAATTTCCAGTACTGGCATGTGTGTGGGCAGTAGTGATGTGTTTAATGTATATACAATTTTCAAAAGTTTTTCACAAGATCTGGGTACTTTTCTGAGTATTACATGCTCTCATTTGAATTGGAATGTGCAGACTACTGCGATTACACCGAGATAACGTTAGGCACTCCCTCTCCTATTTCAGGTTTCCTCCTTGCCCTGTGTTTTGCTCCTTCACATAAACTATTGACATACTCTGGTAGCTTGCTTTCCATGTTTATTGTCTAGCTTCTTCACTAGAATGTAAGCTCAGTGAAGAGGATCTGGGTCCACCTTTGTTCAGTATAGTATGCTTGTGCCTTAAACAAGCCTTGGTTCATAGTAGATGCTCAAATTTTGTATAATAAATGAATGGTATTTGCAAAAGTAATTATTTTCAGGTCTATGAAATTCAGGTATTGATTAGAAAGAGCATCTGTGGGGCTGGAGAGATGGCTCAGCAGTTAAGAGCACTGACTGCTTTTACAGAGGACCTGCGTTCGATTCCCAGCACCCACATGGTGGCTACAAGCTGTCCTTAACTCCAGATCCAGGGGAATCCAACGCCCTCTTCTGACCTCCGTGGCATTGCACCACATGAGTGCACTCACATATATTCAGGCAATACACTCATACACGTAAAATAATAAAAATAATACATTAAAAAAAAAAGAGCATTTGTGTGACACACAAACCACAGTGGGCCTGAATCAGCACGTCAGCACGATCTGGGTGCTTCTAGGAATAGCTTTATGCAAGACTTTGTTACAAAATCTTCTTTGGGAGCTGGAGAGGTGGCTAAGTGGTTAAGAGTACTTGCTCGCTGTTCCGGAAGACTGGTGTCTAATACTCAGGTCAGACAGCTCACAGCCACCCTAACTCCAATTCGAAGGGATGTGACATCGCCTTCTGGCTCCCACAGGTACCCTCACACATGGGGCAGTCAGTCACATGACACATACACATAAATAAAAATAAACCTTTTTTAAAAAGAAATCTTCATTGATATTAAATGACCTTTCTCTCTTTTCTGTCTTAGGAAGCACGTTTTTTGGTTAGGTCCATAGAACACTTGAAGCACATTCTTAATGCACATGTTCAGAATGGTGAGTAATGGACATTAAACCCTCATGGACTCATGGGATCCGCCTGCTTTACTAGGATAGGAATCTTCAAGTTCACATCCTCCCACCAACATGTTAGTTTGTATCACTAATTGCAAGGTGCTGCCATTGATAACTATTTGCCTACTAGGGGCACAGAGCTATGACTACTAAATGTCATCTGTCCCTTAAGGTGAAATGTTCCATTTATGCTGCCTGATTACCAACTGCTTTGCGCTTTAATTTTATTGCCACAGCTTAGTGACTGTATAAGTAAAAGCCCAGGTTTTTGTTGTTGTTGTTGAGGTTTTGTGTGTGTGTGTGTGTGTTGTTTGTTTGAGATTTTTGGAGGGGGTCTTTTGGACAAGATCTCCCTGTAGCCCTAGCTGGCCTGGAACTTACTATGTAGACTGGGCTGGCCTCGATCTCACAGAGATCCACCTGCCGCTGCCTCCCAGGTGCTGGGACTAAAGGTATGCGACACCACACTTGGCTTTTTTTATAATTTCCATTTCGTTTTGTTTTTTGCATTTTTTATATTTTTAAAGTATTCTCTCTCTCTCTCTTTTTTTTTTTGAGATAAGGTCTCATGCAGCCCAGGGTGGTCTCAAATTCATTGTCACTATATAGCCCAGGGTGGCCTTGAACTCCTGATCTTCCTGCCTTATTCTACCAAAGGCTGGGATTACAGGTATGAACTATCACATCTGCTTGCCTTAAAAGTATTTTTAATATTTTAATACTTAAAATAAGAATTAACCTGTTCTCAACAGTTTTTGTTTTTGTTTTAATGTATATGAGTGTTGCCTGCATGTACGTAAGTGTACCCGTGTCATGCAGTGCCCATGGAGGTCAGAAGAGGGGAGGGGATTTCCTAGAACTGAAGTTACAGACAATTGTTAGCCACTATGTGGGTGCTAGGAATCGAATCTGGGTCCTCTATAAGAACAGCCAATACTCTTATCCACTGAGCCATCTTTCTAGCCCCATCCATGTGTTTTGTTATTAATTTCTTAGAAGTGTTGGCCAGTGAGTAGACACACAATTAGCTTTAACTGATACTGTCAGGCACTTTTTGAGAGAAAAAAGTATAGAGCTTTGCTTAGCAAATATGAGGCCCTGGGTTCCAGCCCCAACAGGAGAACAAACATTGTAAGCCTTTCTTGTGGTTGTGTAATGTTACTATGATTTTGCTTTTTTCTTCCTACTTATGACATGACTCTTAGACTTATTGACCATTTTGATATACTCTTCTGCTACCTAGTTCTAAAAGTAAAGTTCATTAACATTATAAACACTGCATAAGCTACAGAGATAACAGCTAAATGTAGAGCCTGTATAGTCTGAAAACCTGAGAGTTGCACATCTGATGAAAGTGGCAGGCTGCATGCATTCTGTTCACTAATGTATCTACTTGCTGCATAGGCATTGCACTGATGATGTGGAATACCTTCTTGGTTAAAAGGTTTTCTGCTGCTACATACTTGATGGATAAGGTAAGGGGGGGTTTTGTTCGATTTTGGGGTGGGTTTGTTTCTTTTTGTTTTTTGGGTTTTTTTTTTTTTTTTTTTTTTTTTTTTTTTTTTTTACTGTAGCCCTCACCTAGCCTAGAACTCACTATGTAGACCAGGCTGGCCTTGAACTCAACAGAGATCCACCTGCCTCTGTCTCCCGAGTGCTGGGATTAAAAGCATACGCCACCACGCCTGGCTAACATAAGGCTATTTTAATTTTCATGAACTGACTTTTGTATTTGGTTCCATTAATTTATTGATATTAGAAAGATTATCCACTCTGGGCCTTGGTAGACTGGTGTGTAATGCTGCATTTTACTCTGCTCAGTTAAATGTAAGTCCCAGTGCTAGCATTTTAATACATGAAGAAGAACCCTAAGTCCTTGCAGAGACTTGGTTGTGAACAATAGAAGCCTTTTGTGTAAAGGCAAAGGACAGCTGGCTGACTCAAGGAAAGAGTCAGTTACCTTGTGTTTAAATTAAAATACACGGATAATATACGCTTACCAGTCTTAGTGTCTAGACCCGAGGTGCAGTCTAATGGAGCGGAATGCAGTTCTTGGCTTTTATGCATGAACACCATCTGTAATGCATGCCTGTCATCCCCAGATCCTATTTTTGTAAACTTGTGCACAGTCTTAAGATTTTTTAAGTTTTGGGTTTTATTTTTGTTTTGTTTTGGGGTCTTTTTGTTTGTTTGTTTGTTTGTTGTTTTTTGGTCTTTTTGAGACGGTCTCTCTGTATCCCCAGCTGTCCTGGAACTGAGTATGTAGACCAGGGTGGCCTTGAACTCACAGAGATCCACCTGCCTCTGCCTCCCAAGTGCTGGGCTTAAAGGTGTGTGCCATCACACCCAGCCCTAAGTTTTGTTTTTTGAACTCTCAGCAATCCTCCTGCCTCAGTCTCCAAGTGCTTGTTACAGGTGTGACCATTACACTTGACTTCAAAATCTTAAAATTTTTATAATCTGTCCTCCAGTAATTGTAGTTGTTTCTACATCTAATCCAGCAAACTGAGGATAATTCATTCTCTATCAGTAATTTAAATAATTCCACACAGCTTTCGAAACTCCCTTCTCACTTTGATTTCATCAGTTTTTTAATTAAATCACATAATTACAATGACGTGTACAGCTAGCTCAAATAAATTGGAATGAAGATAACACATAAGCATAAAATTGAAAGGTATGACTAGGATCTTGTAGCCTGGTAGAGAGTTGATGACTAGCTCCAAGTCTAGTGATCAAGGGAGCTAGTATGCATTACAGGCCGGTCAGGGGAGCAGGTGGCTATCAGAAAAATCACCAGTATAATGACAGCCTCTGCTTTTAAATTAACAACCCTATGTACATCAGGAATAGTACTGCACTGCAGACCCCTTTAAAATATTTATTATTTTTATTTTATGTGTATTCGTGTACTGCCTCGATGTGTGTAAGTACACCTATGTCATGCAATGCCCAAAGACACCAGAAGAGGGCGTTAGATCACCTGGAACTGGAGTTATGGAAGTTTTTTTAGCCACCGTGTGGGTGCTGGAATTCAAACCCTGGTCTTCTGCAAGAACAGCCAGTGTTCTTAATTGCTGAGCCATCTCTCCAGCTCAGACCCCTTTATCAGCCATTGCTCTCCTTAAAAATGCTTTATTTGAGATCATTGAAGTGTAACTATTCTTGGACTGGGGTATAGCTACTGAACATTAGCATTTAGCATTTGCAAGGCCTTAGGTTCAAATATCCCTAGCACACACATGCAAAAAAAGTGTAACTCTCCTTTCCTCTGTGCTGATTTTCCTTCCTTCTTAACTTCTTTCTTATAACTTGCCTTTATGGTGTTGTTTTTATTTTGTTTTGTTTTTTTCTTTCTTTTTTCCCTTTGAAAGCAAAGTTGTGGTTTATTAAGAAAAACATGTCAGTCAGTTCTAGGGAAGAGAGTACCTGCCAGTGTTACTGTCTTCTGCGTCACTTCTGATCACTTCTCTTTTGAGATAATCGGTGTCTGTTACAGTTTACCACATTGAGTCTCACATCCAAGTCCTTTAGTCCTCACAGCTGGAGTTTTTATTTATTCATTGAAAATTTCAACATTTACACAGTGTATTTTTATCATATCCATCCATCGTTACTTCCCTCCAACTCCCCTGAGAGCCCCCTCCCCTCTTTCCCTCCCAACTTCATGTCCTCCCCTTTTTCTTTGTTTTGTGATTAATAACCCTGAGTCTAGTTGGTGCTTCCTGTATGCTCATGGATGTGGCCATCCACTGGCTGAAAGTCTACCAACAGCCACATCCCCAAAGGAGAGTGCCTCTTCCTCCCTCAGCAGCTGTCTGTCAATAGCTCTTCCACCAAGGGTGGTGCCCTAGGGGCCCCTCCCCAATTTGTGCTTGAATTTTGATGGACTTGATCTGTTTGTGGCTTGGGCAAGTAACCACAATTAATGTAGTCGATGTGAACAATAGCCAGGTCATACCCAGAAGTCAGCATTTCACAGCATTTCTCCTTATCTGCCAACTCTTACATTCTTTTCACTCACCCTTGTGCGAGAGTCGAGAGAGATGGATGATTCGTCCACAGCTGAGCACTCGCAGTTACATGACCTTGGCGGTTTGACCAGTTATGAGCCTCTGCATTAACCACTACCCACTGGAAGTAGATGCCTCTCTGATCAGAGTTGAGAGCAACACAAATCTATAGGTATAAACATATATATAGAAGGCAGTTTGATAACATGACCATAAATAAATATAAATATCTAGAAGGCAGTTTGACAGTATGACCAAACAACAGTAGATTCCCTCCTAAGGCCCAGTCATGGCTTTTGACCAGGTTTATAGTACCAGACATGAAATCCTTCCTGTGGAGCAGGCCTCAAATCCAATTAGAAAGCAGCTGTTTACCCCCATTACCATCATCCCACTATTGCACCCATGTGGCACTATTTTACCAGTGGGTACTTCTTGCTAGGTAGGTCAGTACTGTAACATATAGGTCTCACCTATACTCAGTGAAACCTTTAATGCCTTTTCTCTCCCAGCAGCCTGACTTACAGGTGCTGCCATTGTAAGCAAGGCAGCAGGGAGAGAATTTACTGGTCATTCAAGATTGATTTCTTTGTCCCAAAGCTTGAAGTTTATTATTGTTCATTGAATTTATCCCTCATGTGCCAAAGACTGTGCTAAGTGCTCTGGTTGCATTGAAGAAAATCACAGTCCTGACCCTCAAAGTGCTCACTTTGTAGAAGACAAGTAAACAGCAGAAGGGCATTTGGGAGCTCTAAAGGGGAAGTAGATTGAAAGACGCGGCGAAGCTTCTGGCTTAAATTTTGGTAGGTGTATACCTATGATTTAGTATAAAGTGGGTAAGAATTTTTTAAAAAAGTCCTGTGGGTAGGAAACAGCTTTTGGGGTTCAGGGTCTTGGAAGTAAGCACCTTTCTGTGGCCGGGCATGGCTATAGAAAGAAAAGAACCTGAGCGTGGAGAGTTTAGTTGCAGGCAGTGGATGCTGGATTTTCTACTGTATGATCTGCTTGGCATGGATGGTAAGGCCTCAGTCAGTGGAAGCTGTTACTCCATACTGAAGACTTTGGGGCAGTTTTAAGTAGAGAAATTATATGCTCAGATTTGCAATTTTAACATGATTCTTGGAACTGGAGAAATGTCTTGGCGTTGAAGAGCACTGGCTGCTCTTGCAAAGGACTTAAGTTCAGCTCCCAGCACCTACATAACAGCTAACAATTGTCCTTAACTCCAGTTCCAGGGAACTCCTAACACCTCTTTGGGCATTTCATGCACATGGTGTACTTACATACATGTGGGCAAAAGACTCATACACATAATTTTTTTTTTAACTTTTAAAAAAACATTATTGAAGCTGGGTGTGGTGGCACACGCCTTTAATCCCAGCACTCAGGAGGCAGAGGCAGGCCAATCTCTGTGAGTTCAAGGCCACACTGGTCTATATAGTGAGTTCCATCCAGGACAGCTGGGGCTACAGAGAGACCCTGTCTCAAAAAAGACCCCCCCCAAAAAAAAAAAACAAAAACATTGAGAATTTCATACACACATATAAAGTGTTTTGATCAAATCCACGCCCACTCCCTCCCCTCTAACACCTCCCACACTTTTTTTTTTAATCCAGTGTAAAAATAAAAAAATTTAAAGGTGATTCTGGCAGCTTTGTGGAATCCAGAGTTGGGCTGGACTCAGCTTGGTTGTCCAAAGTCTGCTGCAGTGATCTCAGGCAATGAGGTGAATCTTTTGTGCTAGAGGCCTTTCTCCACTGTCTCTGAATTACCAAGTAATATTCCTGAAGGTGGAACTGCTAACGCCATTCACCCTGTGGACATGCGCAGTCACCTCAGTCAGTGCTCATCAAATCAAGGAAGTCTTCTTTGCTCAGAATATAATTCTTATCTTTTAGTGTTTCCTTCTTTCTAACCATTTAAAAGTACTGTATACCTTTACCAAGAAGCAAAAATTTTAGGTACTCTTTATTGATAGCCATAAGGATGGCTCTGGATTTTTTGGCGACACGATCACGGCCGTACAAACTGAGAGCCGAGTTTAGAAAGGTTTTGTTAGGGACTGTCTTCCCCCGTCCTTGCCTTTCTTCTCTGTCTTGGCGTCTTTCTGTCTGCCCTCCCCTTTCTTTCTGGCAGCGTCTCACTGGCTGACTTTGGGTTTTCAAACTCAGAATCCTCCTGCCTCAAGTCTCAGGGGCTGAGATTTCAGTTGTGTGCCATGCTGCCACGCCTGGTGAGAGCTTTCCTATCAGCTCAAAGATAGTTTATTAGGAGAAATGGGAAGATTTGTTTGTTGAAAAGGATTATCTATCAACTCTGTGTGATTATTTTTACAGTGCTTTTTTTTTTTAAGTTCCACCACAAAATTAATTGCACCCATTGTTGGTAACTAGCAGTTAATTGTTGACACATGTATTCACAAATCTGTTACTTCACAAATCTGTTACTTTTTATTTTCTGTACTATTCTGATGCTTTTTACTTTAAATTATTAAATGTGACAGCATTTTGTTTCCTTTTGTCCTAGGTTGGAAAATCACCAAAGGATAGGTTATGCCGAAGGGTAAGTGACTCCTAGCTAACCCTACACTTACGCAGTACCTTATTGTTGCAGTGAACTTTGTTCTCTACTGTTTTGATGATATAGCAGGAGATACCAAACACAGAAAGAGAACACTGCATTAAGGAAATAGTCATGAACCATGGCCACTTTCATTTACCTTTCTAGATTGTCAGCCAGCATGTTCTAAGTTTTCTTGCAATATGTTCAGCTGTGGACTACGGACCACAAGATAGCATGTTGCGGTTTTGCCATTTCTACTTGGTTTTTGCTCTGCTTTAGAAACTTATAAGAGACGTTCAATGTCAAGCTGAGGCAAATTCGTATGAGTACTAAATTATATATATATTTTTTTATCTACCTATATCAAATAACCAATGTACAAATACAGTACTAGTCTTAAATAAGATTCTGATCCAGGGCCTGGAGAGTTGGCTCAGCAGTTAAGAGCACTGACTGCTCTTGCAGAGGACCCAGGTTTGATTCCCAGCACCCACATGGCAGCTACAAACCGTCCTTAACTCCAGTTCCGGGGGAATCCAAAGCCCTCTTCTGACCTCCATGGCATTTCATGACATGGGTGCACTCACATATACACAGGCAGTACACTCATACACATAAAATAATAAATAGCCTGGTGTGGTGGCGCTCGCCTATTAAAGGCGTCTATTAACCCAGCACTCGGGAGGCAGAGGCAGGTGGATCTCTGTGAGTTCAAGGCCACCCTGGTCTACATGGTGAGTTCCAGGACAGCTGGGGCTACAGGGAGACCCTGTCTCAAAAAGACCAAAAAAGTAAAAATGAAAAATAAATAAATAAAAGATAAATAATAAAATATTTTTAAAAGATTCTGATCCATAGATATTGAGGCTGGTAATGGTGCTAGGCTTTTGCTCAAAACTTTATTCAAATATTATTTGAAATGTTGAGACACACAAATTTAGCTGTTACTGACCCTCATCCCCCCCGACCCCCCATAATCACCATAGCTGAAGATTTCTGATATGTTCTTTAGAATGGTTGTATGACTAAAGTATGTAAGTGTGCATGCACATGAATTACACACTTTGGGGATATGAAGAATTTGTTGGTTTTAAAAGATTGTACCCAAATGCAATGGCTGCTTGCACTAGGAGTCAGTGGAAACTATTTGTTGCCCACAGGGTGAATCTAGTATTTAGTTCTCAAATGGAAACTCTAGGTATATTTAGAGAATTCAGTTGAGTGCCTACAAGATGCCCTGAAACCACCAGACAAGGCTGTTTTCTTAGAACTTTTCTGGTTGGACATTCATACATATAATTTACCATGTTCCATGGTTAGTTGGCTAGCAAATGCCTTAGCAAGTTGAAGAGTTCTTTATAGAACACTCAATTTTATGGCCCTTTCTTTTCCTTTGGGCAGGAGAGATTAAATCCAGAGCCTTATATGTGCTGAGTGTATGCTCAACCACCCCAGAACATTAATTTTTTTAAGTTTATCGCTTTAAAATAAATAAATAAATAAAGTTGATAGTTCTGTTTTTGTTAATTTGGGGTTTTTGAGATAGGGTCTCCCTATAGCCCCAGCCAACCTGGAACTCGCTATGTATACCAGGCTGGCCTCTATCTCAAAGAGATCTGCCTGCCTTTGCCTCCTGAGTGCTGGGATTAAAGGCATGCACCATGGTGCCTGATTGCAATAGCACTTTTTAAAAGGCTGATGTTTAAGTTGTTTGACTACTGAACCAGCAGGAAGGAACTTAAATATCTAATGACTTTGGATGCTTGTCGGTCTGTTCAGTGTAGAAAGTCAGGCAAATGGATGGGCATGGTGGCACATGCCTTTAGTCCCAGCACGCAGGAGGCAGAGGTAAGCGAATCCCTGTGAGTTCAAGGCCAGCCTGGTCTACATAGTGAGTTCCAGGCCAAATATAAATAAATAAATAAATAAATAAATAAATAAATAAATAAATGGACATGCTGGGTTCTGCTGGTTTTCTAATAGGAAGTATAGCAGTTCTAATGCAGGGGCTAGTTCTATTCCTTTTTTAAAACAGGACGTGGGGATGAGTGACACAGCAATGACGTCTTTCCTCGGTTCCTGCCTGGATCTTCTTCAGATTTCAATGGAGGTAAAAGAGGTGTATTCTAGGCAGGCATGGCAGTGCGTTCCTCCATATGTGGGAGGCTGAGGTAGGAGTGTGAAGTCGAAGGCCAGTGTGGGCACGTAGTGAGACTCTGCTTCAGACACTGAGAGAGAGAGAGAGAGAGAGAGAGAGAGAGAGAGAGAGAGAGAAGAATGAGAGAGAAATGTATTCTGAGTGGCTCCTAAAATACTAAACATTCTGAAAATCATTGGGCTTAAGAAATGGCATTATAACGGGATTGTTTTTCATTTATTTGTTTGTAAGTTTTGACTTTAGCCTAAAAGGGATGTTTCTCATTCTTTTTCAAGTTATACTTTTGTGATTTCTTAATTACAAATGGGGGTACAGAATATGAGTTTGTACTTTGCTGCTGATAAACTTATTGGGGTATTAGCAATGCTGACCTCTCCAGTTCTTCACCCAGTCCTCCACTGGCAACCTCCACAGGCAGACATTAGCAGGGATGAGATGCAAGTGCCTGTCCTGGACACTGAGGATGCCTGGCTCTCTGTGGAAGGCCCCATCTCCATCGTGGAGCTGGCGCTCGAGCAGAAACCTATCCACTACCCGCTGGTGGAGCATCATTCCATCCTGTGTTCCATCCTGTATGCGGCTATGCGCTTTTCTCTGAAGAGTGTGAAGCCACTCACCCTTTTTGATAGTAAGGTGAGTTTCCCTAGAGGGTTTCAGAGCTATTTTTGAGCTGTAGATTAACAGGCACATGAATCTTCTTTCCTGTAGTGATTTGTGGGGATAATCCACTATAGGGTTCCAGGTCCTTTCTTCCCTAACACCATCCTTTGATTTATTTCAGTACTGGCATTTGTTCTGCCCTCTGTCTCTTCTGCATGTTCTCCCTGGACAGATCCATTTTCTCCCTCTTGTATATCTGTAGGCCTGACTTATCCCTAAAGCTGAATGTATGTTTCTATTGACTCCTAAGGGACTTGCACACACTAGAAACCTTGAGCCCTACTTCAACCCAGCTTATTGTAAATTCATTCTTGTTAAATTCTTACTTAACTCCATAGCCAGGCATGGCAGTGCATGCCTGTAATCCTACCAGTTGGGAGGCAGAAGCTGGAGTATTGAGTTCAAAGCCAGCCTGGGCTACTTAGCAAGTTTCCAGCCAGACTGAGCTGTCTGAGACCCTGTCTCAAGGAAAAATCCTACCTGTATGTTGCTGTCTACTACTGCATCCCTAGCTCAGGCCTCATTCTCTTCCCTTGACTAGAACAGATACCTTCCTAATCACCCTGCCTCCACTGTGCTCAAGTCCCAATGCTGGGAGAGCCATCTTCCCAAGGCTTATTGGGTCCCTGCCTCACACTTTCTAGCTTCTTTGCAGAATCAAGTCCAAACTTGTTGATGGAGCAAGGAGAGATCTGTTTGGTTTGGCTTACTAGTGAGGCCCTCTCCCCACAGGTGCCACCAAAGTGCCAATAGGAAGAGATAAAAATGCCAACTTTAGGAAGAAAATAAAAATCAGCTGGGTATGGTGGCACATGCCTTTAATCCAGTACTTGGGAGGCAGGGGCAGGCACATGTCTGTGAGGCTAGCCTGGCCTATATAGTGAGTTCCAGGCCAGCTTGGGGCTACAGGGAGACCCTGTTTGAAAAATACCCCCAAAAAAGTCAACTTTATTACTGGGTTGGTGAGTGCATCTTAGGCTTATGGGAAAGTGGGCTTGTTTTGCTTTTAAATGAGAGATGTCATTTCCCAGTCTTTTGGCTGATGTCAAGAATAGTATCAGAGACTTTAGTCAAAACAGGCTTCCCTTCAAGAACCTGTGCCTGTAGGATCAGGGGCTGTCCCTGTGGGAAGACTGCCTTCCGAAGGCAAGCAAGGGCATGGATCGTTCAGCTCTCTGTTCTGTTCATAGATTGTTATAGTTTCACCATCAGCTTTTACTGGGTGGTGCAGCGCCTCGGCCCTGGTACTATTTCTCACATGTTCCATCCTGTTGGTGAGGCTTTTGAGTTTTTCCTTTCTAGAATTATTTCAGTTTGGCTTTTCTTCAGTAATTTTCTTTATTGAATTCTATTTTCATATCTTATATATTGACTTCCTTTTTTCATTCATCTTTTTTTTTCTTTCTTCTCAGGGTCATCTGAACATAGTTCTGATTGTTCTTTTGAAATTCTGTGGCAGTTCTTCAAGAATGTTCTCATTAGGGTCCATTATTATGGGATTAATAATTTTTGCAGGAGCCATGTTGTCTTGGATTTTCATGTTTCTGTTTTTGTGCTGAGATTTGGACATCTGACGGTTGGCCAAGTGGGAGTGTGGGCCTGGCTGATGGGCTGAAGACCACTTAGTTGTCAGCACTGGGAGCTAGGGGAACTTCAGAAACGTAGACAGCACTCAGGGTAGTGGATCCTGTACCAAGTGTTGGCAGGGTGGACATGGGCTGAGCGGTGGGGCCCTTACGTACCAAAGGTGCAGGAGCTCAACGTAATAGACCATTGTTACACCTTAAATGAATAGAATTCTAAGATCAGAACCATTTCAGGGGAAAGTAAAAAACAGTGAATTATTAGTAATAAAGTGATTTAATTTTCAAAATATTTCCCTTTTTCTCCCTTAATACCCCACATTCACCAGTTCTCTTTTCTAATCTCCTCTCTAGGGAAAAAATGCATTTTTTAAAGACTTAACTTCAATTCAGTTATTACCTAGTGGGGAAATGGATCCAAATGTTATTTCTGTACGGCAACAGGTAAGTTCTAGTTACTGAATTTTGTTGTTTCTTACAGGAAAAAGCCAAGTTAAAATTTAGCTGTCTTTTAAAAGGATGACCACCCTTTCAGGGTGTTACTGAGAGCCTAGTTTCCCTTTAAAGTATGCGATCTTTTATTGCTATCAAAATGATTTTAGAGTTGGTGAGATGGCTCAGTAGGTAAAGGCACTTGCTGTCAAACCTGATGACTTGAGTTTGTTCCCTGGAACCTATATAGAAGGGTATATAGAAGAGTAGAGAGAACTGACTCCTGCAAGTTGTCCTCTGACCTCCACATGTGAAAAATCACAAAACACACACACACACACACACACAAATACACAAATGTAATTTAAACTTTTTTCTTGATGTAGACCAGGCTGACCTTGAACTCACAGAGACCCACCTGCCTCTGCCTTCAGAGTGCTGGGATTAAAGGCATGTGCCACCACGCCCAGCTTAAGCACTTTTTAAACAATTTTAATGGAAGAGTCGCTCTGATTGACAGAAAGCTGACAATTTTTTTTTCTTATTGTGTATATGATGTTGGTGTTAAACTTTTTTCTTGATGTAGACCAGGCTGACCTTGAACTCACAGAGACCCACCTGCCTCTGCCTTCAGAGTGCTGGGATTAAAGGCATGTGCCACCACGCCCAGCTTAAGCACTTTTTAAACAATTTTAATGGAAGAGTCGCTCTGATTGACAGAAAGCTGACAATTTTTTTTTCTTATTGTGTATATGATGTTGGTGGTAGGTGGGAGAAGGTTTATGTCCATGGCATACATGTGCTATCAGAGACCAACTCTATGGCTCAACTCTCAGAGCAACTCTCTCCTTCCACCTGTGTGGATTCTGGGGGTTCAGCTGGCTTGGTGTGTGTAGCACATGCTTTACCCACCGAGCTACCTCCTGCCTGTTATTTTTAAATGAAAACATACTGACAAGACATCACTGTGGCTTTCTGTGCTTTCAAGTTCTTACTGAAAGTTGTCAGTGCAGCCGTCCAAGCTCAACATTCTGTCACCAAGGACAAAGGTCCCACCGAAGAGGTAGCAACCATACCTTGGAAACACCACAACTGGCCAGTTCTGGCTGTGGATTTAGCCCAGCACCTTCAAGTGAGTGAAGATGTCATCAGAAGGCATTATGTTTGGGAGCTCTACAACTATGGGGCAGACCTCCTAGGAGAAGAGGTAAGAATGACGCCAAGATGAGGTGTTCATGGATGCCAAGGTAGAGCCTGACCGCTGGGGAGGAGCCCATGACTGCAGTAGAGCTCCATGATCTTCTTTTGTTACAAACTTTAGGCATAAAAAAATAGCATTAAAGAATATGAAAATAGCTGGATAGGGTGGTGCAGGCCTGTAATCCCAGGATTTGGGATGTGGAGGCAGGAAGGTGAGGATCTCAAGGTCCTCCTCAGTTACATAGGCCAGCCTGAGCTACATGAGACTGCCTCAAATGAAACAACAAAAAATAGAAAGCTGTAGTCAAATTCTTGCCTGGTACCCAGGCTCACACAGAGGCATAGCAATAAACCGAACAGGCAAGGTTCTTCACAGAATCAGCCATCTGCTGAGGAGCAGAAAAGTACTTGCAGTTCTGTGCTGAGTTGAAAATCAACAGGGTCATAGGAATGAGTCTTAATGGATGAGATAAAATAATGATTAACTGACTCCCCAAAGATAGGAAGCAGCCAGCCACTTGGGAAACAGAGACAAAGGAACCAACGAGTACAAAGGTCTTGAGATGGGGACTAGCTTGGCACGCGGTGTGGTCTAGTGCCAGAAAGGCCAGTGTGGCTGCCAGGTGAATAAGCAAGCCGTGAGGACGTCTCAAAGAGGGGGGGGGGGGGGGTCTATGTGTATTCCATCACGGGGCTTCAGTCCTGATGTCCTCTGACGTCATTCCCTTTCTTTCACTTTAAAAATAAGGCTTTGTCATACTGGATTAAGAATTAGGTGACAGAATAAAAATTTTGGCTGATAAGCAGAGATTCAGGTTTAAATGCTTTGCTGGATTTCTGCTTTTTAGTTATACTCATGGCCAAGCTCAAAACTGAACTAGACTGTCTTCATTGACTCCTGCAATATTTTTCTCCACATTCATGTTCTCAGGCAATTCTGCAGGTGCATGACAAAGAGGTCCTGGCCTCTCAGCTGCTGGTGTTGACAGGGCAAAGGCTGGCTCATGCACTTTTCCACACCCAGACAAAAGAGGGGATGGAGCTGCTGGCCAGACTCCCTCCCACACTCTGCACGTGGCTGAAGGCGATGGTGAGTACATTAGCAGGTCGGTGGATGGTGTCCTAGTTTGCTTTCTGTTGCTGTGACAAACACTATGACAAAAGCAATTTGGGGTAGAAAGGGTTGATTTCATCTTACAGGTCACCGTTCATCCTGGAGGGAAGCCAAGGCAGGAACTCAAAGGAGCTGAAGCAGAAACCAGAGGAATGCTTACTGGCTTGTTGAACCCACTATGTAACCAGGCTGGAGCTCACAGATCCACCTGCCTCTGCCTCCCAATTGCTGGGATCTTTGATAGGCGGCTACCACGCCGGGCCTCAGTTACCTTTCTTAAACAATTACCTTTCTTATACAACTCAAGACCACCTACTCAGAGTGGCAATGCCCAGTGGGCTGGGCCTTTCCACATCAATCAGCAATCAAGAAAATGCCCCACAGACATGCCCACAGGCCAATCTGATGGAGGAACTTCTTCATTTAAGGTTCCCTCCTGTCAGGTGTGTCAGGTTGGCAAGATCCGTCATCTCCGTGGTTTTCTTAAGAGGTAGAAAGTTAGAGACGTTTAATGTACCTCATGGCAGAGAAGCACTTTCCTGGGAGATAGCTTCCATGGTAACTCTTAAAGGTAGTCACAGCGTTTGGTGTGAGAGACTGATGGGTTATTTTTGTTTCCCTTTTGCAGAACCCCCAGGATCTTCAAAACACTGAAGTGCCAATCACAACAACAGCTAAACTAGTACATAAAGTAATTGAGCTCCTACCAGAGAAGCATGGGCAGTACAGTCTGTCCTTACACCTTATTGAAGCTGTGGAAGCCATGTCTAGTTTATGACACTTATCTACTGAGAATAGTTGAAAACTGTGTGACTACAACATGAACTACTGCATGTCATTTTACACAGTAAGAGCTGGAATTTTTTGGAGTATTTTTTTGTATAATAAATA